GACTTGACCAAGTGACTTGACCAAGTTTGACTTGACACGACATGACATGACATGTGTATAACTTGTGGTCGTGTGTGTATATGGTGTGTGCGTGTGCAAACACAAGCAACCAAAAATGAAAAAGCAAAAAATTTCCGTCATTTTTGTGATGAGACGAGGGGAGGGTACCGACTTTCTCCCGAAAAAGAAAGACTTCCCTCGATGAGAAAATTTTAAAAAAGTTTTTGAACTTCTCCAAAAGAAAAGGAAAGAAGTTTTGAACTTCCTCGTTGAGCAAGACAAAATGAATCGCATGGATTGAATTGCTTTTCTTGAAAGTAATGTATGCATGATGCATGTCCTTAGGCCAGGAGGCTAAGGACAATTACATCATGTTACACGATGAATGAACTTAGGTCATGGAGCTTAGCATCATATATGGTGTAAGGAAACGATCTTGAACGTCACTTAGGTCTGGAAGCTAAGCACGTATACAGATAAAGTGATTATTGCATAATGAACGTTGCTTAGGTCAAGGAGCTAAGCACGATATGCTTTGTATGATTAAAAAATGTTGCTCAGCACATTATGCGATGCGTGAAACAATGAATATTGCTCAGGTCAGGAAGCTAAGCAAGTATACAACGTTTCTTCTAATGAATGTTGTCTTGAAAGATGATGAAACATGCACAGTGTTGAAACAAGATTTCATGATAAAGGGTTCCTATAGAGAAGGATGATATGGATATGGATGTGTGAGTGTAGTGTGTGAATGTGATACTAAGGCTGGCTGCAAGGGTTATGGCGATGGAAATATATATGAGAAGAGCCAAAGATGATGACTCTTTAGGCTGGGTAGGCTAAATGATGTGGGTTCAAGCCCCCAAGTCTAGCTCTAAATGGGTAAGGGTAAGCATTGGATATTCTTTGACTCGATCATGCATGGATATGAATATGAATGTGGCTGCACCTCGATGTGAGGTTGCCTACGTATCCGTTAGGAATCAGGCCGAACGTAGCTCTAACCGAACTTTGCGCAAGTGTATGTACACCTCAAAGAGGTCTTTCAAGGGTTGTAAGGTGGTTAAGCTGAAGGTTTAAGGAAGAAAGGGGTAAAAGGCTCAAGACCCAAGAGAAGCCCCCAAGATATGCAATTGTGTATTAGACTTTGCAAGTTTTATTTTTCATATATTTTTTTGTTTTGAATTTCGTTAGTTTATTTTCATTTTTTCTTCTTTTTTTCGCTTTTTTCATTCTTTTGAATCAATGTGGGCAATCTCAGATCATGCGGTCCATCACTCACTTAGCATTCATGTTTCTCAGGCACGGTACCAAGCACTCGATGAGAGACGCAATTTGAGACGTGTTCATATCAAAGACATTGGAACACTTGCCCTTAGACATTGTTTTATTGTTGCTTTGCTGCTTTTTTTTACTTGCTTTTTGAATGTTGCACAAATTACACATATTCCAATCCCAGGTTCGAGTGAATGTGGGTTGAAGTAATGACGGCCAAACGTTAGACAAGGCTTAAAGTGGTTGATGAAGAAATGGGATATGTGATTGAACGGTTAACAGGGAATGACAGGGTTGCAAAGGTGCCTCAAATCATTGGTGTACCTTGTGTTTAGTTCGGTAATTGATTTTTTTTTGGCGAATGACATGATCGAATGCGAAGGAAAGAAATAATCATTGATGGAACATGACATATAGACATAAGGATAAGGAGAACCTATGCTAGACTTATTCGGGGAAAAGGGTTAAAACGAAAGAAAAAAGCATGAAATCTTGTATGGAAACTTGTCTTGTGCTTCGTCTTCATGGTTGCTTATGAATTACTTGTTACCGCCAAGAGGAACAAGAAGTTTGTTATTGCTGATGCTTTGATTGGAAGAAAAGAAGGAAGGAATGACGTTCCCCTTATTCTTCCAACTCGTGCCTAGTGGTTCTTGCACTCGAGTACTATGGAACAAAATGAGCTCACTTAATGCATTGACTCAATACTCGGATTGGAAAGGAAGAGTGTATGAAAGAATTTTGAAAACCAATGGGGAATACTCCACCCATTCCTATTACGACGGAAAACGACGCATGCATGGTCCTAGTATACGATCATAAACAATATAGTGCATTACTCGAAGACAAAGTGTGTGCAATGACTCAACATGTGTGATTAGGTGAGTTTATTAAGACTCGTGGTATGATCGCATGGCTAGACATGAGGACGTTGTGAAAAACAAAAGACCCAATAACCAAATAGCATGGAAGACTAAAGACAAACTAACTTGATTAATTTTGTCCAATTTTAATGTTTATGCTATTTACTAGGTGAAAACGGTCCATTGGCAATCGTTAGTCGTAAAAAAGATCAACCATAATCAAAGACAAAGAACACATGTTAATGTTAGCACAAAAATCGATCACAAGAAACTAGGAAGAGGACTAGAATTCTAGAAGAGTAAAGACTCATGGGTATAAAAAAAATAAATAAATAAAAATAAAAATCTATAATCCTATGTTATACGAGTTGACACGGATTAAAGGACTTGGCTAAGACTAGCTTGACAAGATTTTTTTAAAAAAAAATAAAATAAAAAAGGTAACGTTAAAAAGACACCTAAACTGGACAGGTTGTAGTATATCGGTTATAACTTTTGATCTGTGATCTGATTAGGACGAAACCAGCTCCAATTGAAAGATAAAACTCGGGGCTACAGATCCACAGGTTGTACGACACGTAACTCTTTCTAGAACTCCGGCTATGACCAAAACAAGTTGACTCTTGTGCAGTATACGGGAATAAAAATCCGGGTGACTCAAAAATTAAAAAAAAAAAAATCTATGGCTCGACTCTAATAATAAAAAAAGGATTTGATAAGAGAAAAAAAATAAATAAATAAAAAGTCAAAAAAGGCACATATAAGCACATTTTCATGAATGATGCAATGAAGTTCACAACCTAGAGTCAAGATCTATGTTCCACTATGGTCAAGCTTTTGGGTGTCAAAGGGTACCATGGTTAAGATCTAGTTTGGACGCGTTAGCAAGGCAGCCTCCCTTAAGGGTGTATGCCAACAGGCGGCTCCGCGAGTTCGTGATGAAATCGAACTCGACTCCATGGTTTGGGTGGATTTAAAAACTCGGATGAAGCCTTATTGTCATGAACGTTTTCGGGTTGATAGAGCTTAAATCCCCTGGGCTAGCCACATACGTAGAAAACGTACTATTGTCGCGAAATAGGTGACCTAAAATGCATATGCATATGTGACAATGCCAATTAAATCGCAGGAATACAATTCAAGAATCTTTCAAGTCTCATCCACTCTTCTCGATAAATAACCAAGAATCCTCCCCAGTGGAGTCGCCAAATTGTAGGCGTAGCTCGAAGTGTGCCTACGTTAAAGCATGTTTTGAATATGCTTCGCACTCATAGGAAGTGGGAATTGACATAATACGATTAGGGACAAGGAAAGTAGGGAGCCGCCAACAATTTTTTAAGGAACTTGTAAACCGCTAACGGATCATAAAAAAGCAACCACGATAAGGGACAACGATAGGCAACAACGATTGACCCGTGAAGGTTATACCCCATTCATAATCCATGAGATTACTAACTCCATATGGTTTGGAACCACGAAAGGAGGATCGGGGATGATGATACGAAGTGAGTCATGGAGTCACATTCGCCCGTATTGGCCTCTACTCGATTCTAGTCTTATAGTGAAAAGTGATTCCTGCGATCTCAAAGGCAAACAAACAGAGATTCAATTCGATCCAAACTATTATTATGCTAAATTGGTTGAATATTAATGCAACACATAATTCTAAAATATTTGTGATCACTTCAATTAACAACAAGATTAAAAAGGATCCTGGTTTTTGGGAGACACAATTAGGTATTTGTATAACTGTAAAAATAGTTAATAATAATTCTTAGTTCTCATCAGGGAAAACAATGTAAGAACTAAAACTGTAAGCAATACACTACTTTCATGCCAAGGAGTCAACACCTCGCTCATGATGAGTCCCCAAAATATCATCCTCCTCATGAAGGTCCTCCTACGGCGGATCTCGAGGCTTCCTTACATAGGGTCAACTAATACAAATGTGCTCCTATGACCACAACTGCACTAAGAAAAGTGGGCCTCCAATGTGACACGCTGCTCTCTGTCATGCTCGACATAGTTGACGGTAAAAAAAACCAAGAGTCGCACTCCCCTAACTATAGGTCAAAGTTGTTTCCCAATCTCTAAGTTACAACAAGTAGTAGAGTGACACAACATCACCACCCCTGTCAGCGAAGAGAATAGATCCCATGAGAGTAATAATGTAAGTGCGACTATGTCGCTGAACAATAGCGTCATTGACTCCCTCTAGAATCTGTGAGAAGTGTCGTCTGAGCCATGTCAACTTCAAAGAAGATCCCTCCAGAAATGGCTTGCCCTTATCATCAACGCTAGGTCAAACTCCAAGAAACTCCTCAACAAGGTCATGCCATCCCTCAAGCAAAGGATCAATGACAGGTGGGCCGTGAACTCTCAAACCTAACAAAACGATAACATCCTGGAAAGTAATAGTGGCCTCTCCCACCACAAGATGGAAAGTATGTGTCTCATGCGTGCCTCCACCACTCAACCAACGCAGTGAGAAGAGAACGGTCAAGTAAAAACCCTCCACCCGCTATTCTATGCACATCGTAAAACCCAATACGCTTCACATAGTCTAGTACTCCACCCTCTACCCTCCACTCACGTCCCAAGCTGACCCCATGCTCCCTAACTGATGAAACTTTCTCAGCCACGCCACTCCAAACATAATAAATCCTATGGGAAGTTTGCAACAGTAGAATAGATGAATCAATTGGGCTTAGTCAAATCATCGGATCCATGGGACTTGCATGATAAGAGGAAATTTAATTAAGTTTAAGCATGTGTAAGGAAAAAAAATTAAAATAAATAAGATTTCAATTTTTTAGAACACAAATTAGGCATTTTAGCAGTATCTAATGGTTGTTACCCAAATTATCCCACACCACTAATTATAGGAACTGTTCTCTTGTTATGCCCTGGTCGCCGACAAACACTGCATGCCTTCTTGGCACGATAGGGACGCTCATCCATTTCATTTTGCATTCTAGTAGACTGTTGGCCTGGGACTCTTTTTAGATTTGGGTTGGCTACAACATTAGGAACATTGTAAATGGACTAATGGAAAGGATCAGGAACTGGTGTGAAACACTTCGAGTATGAAAGTCCGTATACAGCGGTCCAAAAAAAAGAATCTGCAAAATCTGAGTGTGTTAAGCTTTGATGCCGACAAACTGCTAGGACACGAGAGCATGGCAACTTGTATATTTCCAATTTCTTACAAGTACATGTCTTTCTCATAAAATTCACAGCTTGGATGTTACCACCTTTACCATCTTTTCTCCTTCCACGATCTGTCCTAACCTGATACAACCCCATGGCATCATAGTAAAAAACAATATCCTCATGGTGCATGGCTTTCTCCATGTTGGCCTCTATTGTCTTTGTAGCCTTTTCTAATAACTCATGGCTCTCTTCAAGTCTTCTTTTACTCTAACTACCTCTGGTTGCAAAATAGGAGTTAACTTGAAAAAAAGTCATTTGCACCAAGGCAGTTATCGGGAGATAATGATCCCCTTTTAAGACTCCATTGAAAACTTCTAACATGTTTGTAGCCTTCACACCAAACCTTAAACCACCATCATGGTGGATGGACCACTAATAGAATGGAATCTCCATCAAGTACTGACAAGCCTCTACATTCAAGTCACCAATTTTGTTGATGTAGTAATTAAACTTCTTCTTCTTCCTTGCAACAGCTGCTTTGCCAAAAAGGTTCTTTATGATGACACTTTTAAATTTTGGGACGTGTGCAATACTTGTGATAGGTATTGGGCTCCTCCAAACCATTTCCAACCTCATACATTGCTGCTAAAAGGCCAGCATGTCTATCAAATATCACACACATACCTCTTCTATTTGCTACCCGAGCTCTAATACAAGCCATGAACCAAGACCAACTATCATTGTTTTCTCCTTCAACAACCGCAAATTCAAGGGGAATATTGAAAATTTGCATCGGTTCCCATATAAATAAGTAGAGCCCCTTTGTATTTTCCATATAAATGAATTCCATCAATGGTGATAAAGGGGCCTACAATGACGGAATCCATTAATGCATGGATTGAATACCCAAAATCCTCGTTGGAAAACACAAGTTCCAAGTACCGTACTCTATAACAATCTCCACTCAACAACAATTCCAGCTAGGGGTGTTCATAAATCGGTCCGGACCGAAAAAATGGACCGGACCGAATTAATCAGTCCGATCTTCGGGTTTTGAAATTCATTTTTTCGGTCTTCGGTCCGATCCGGTTCAAAACCCTATAAAAACCGGTTTTGGACCGGATCGATTTTTTTATTAAAAATATGTGTGAAACCTTAAATAATGGTTAGAACTATCCTTAATAAGCTTAGTAAACTTTAACTTTATAAGTTTTTTTGCACTAAACATACAAAAAAAGACGTATAAATGATGTTACGATGTAGTTTTTCCAATACTTTTTTTTGTGTTTTCCTTAACTTTATTAAAAAATTAGTATTCTTTTTACAAAAATTCTTAAATCGGTCCAAAGCGGTCCAGTCCGGGTTAGCTCCCAACTTAATCGCTCCGGTCTTCGGTTCTTAAAATTCTAATTTTCGGTCTTTGGTCTGATCTGGTCTGATCTTAGACCGATGAACAGCCCTAGTTCCCGCATTTGATTCCTTCAACGCTTGCATGTACTTAGGGAACTCTTAAAATGAACCCTCCCAATCCCCATAAATGAGTTTTATTGCCTTTTGTTTCTCTAGCCATGCTCTCTTGTACGTTATTGAAAACTCAAACTTCTCTTTCACAAGTTGCACTATTGTCTTGATTTTCAATGAAGGGTCAACGCGAAGGACATCTAAAAGAGCATTGCAAACAAACTCGAAAGTGAGTAGCTTATGATCCACGGAGTCGATGTCACCAACACAATGACTTGCATGAGGACCGTTGTACCAAAGAATTTTAAAAGTAGAAATTGTTGGATCTTTCACTCCTCTAAGCCTCCACGAACAACTACATTGCTCTTTCCTCTTGCACTCAACAACATATTTCTCTGGCTCTGCTTCCACAACTCGAGTTGTTTGATTTCTAACTATGGAGTAAGACTTAACAACATCTTTCAATTGTTGCAATGATTCAAAATGCTATCCAACATCGAATTCCCCACCCATGTTATATGTCTCATTTCCTAACCAAGTCATACATGAGTTATTCAAACGTTGATTAACTTGCGACACTTCATTGAAGTCTGTAGTGGGAGCACTATCTTTAATTTCCTTATCACAAGCTTCAATTACATCTTCATCATCATCTTCATCAGTATTAGTCATCCCGACATCCCCAAAAACATCAACATTATTTGGGTCAAGAGAATCGAGAATGGCTTGTGGTTGTGTGCTTGTTGAGGTTCCAACATTAGGCGATGAGGTCGGATAACTAATCTTTGAAAGATATACATTGACATATTTAGGATTAATAAGCATTCTTATGAATGATCCTATCCCCACACTTTGATTAGTAAGGGGAATTAGTTGCTCCATACTACAAAAATAATCCATTTCCAGAAAGGAACCAGTATTAGTTTGCATTAATGGCTCCTTTGGAACCTGTTCAATGTATAATTCATTGCAATACAAGAAGTCTGAGTCACAACAATCCACATAGCCCTAAGAGCATTGTCGTCATTCAACGGAATTGCGACATATGCCCCAGTCATAGGATACCACATAACCACCTTCAACTCCATAAATCTAGGATCAATACTCAATTCTTCATATAACTTATTCAAAACGTGTGAATACGTCATCCAAGGATTTACGAAAATAAAATTTTGATTTCCTCCCCTATACGTTACATCACCATCTTTGTGGATAATTTCCCCACCCCAATAGCAATATAAAGGGTAGTTTGGTACCTCCATGTTTCATTCTAGAAAACACCATGATTAATTTAAGACATTAGTTTTGCAAAAATTTAGTAAGACGAGCATGAATAAAAATTTATTTAGAAACCCCCCTGCACACATATTTCAGGTCCCTTCAGTATATTGATCATCTTAAAAGTCCAATTAGTATAAATTTGCAACACATGTAAGTATTATATTATACATGTAATAAGTTATTCATAGTTTAGAAAGGCATAATCCTAAAGTTCCACTACGCAGCCATTGGTATTCCATATTTTATACTATATGAAGCATGCAAACACCTCTATATATTTAAAACAAATATGCTGTTAATGGGTCCTAGCAAGAAAATATGATATAATCAAAGCCAATGGTCCCAGCAAAATGAAATGATACTAAGAAAGAGACAACTAACAATTTTATATTTCATGTATGTATATAGTCCCATGTAATTGCTTAATGTTGATGGTATACTCTGACATGACTAATCTATAAATAAGAATATCAACACCAACATTAATAGACAACTATTCTTAATTTTCACAAAATACATTAATTGAACTCTATAACAAGCATATTACAAAAATATCCAATTATTTCAAACATCAACACTGAAACTACACAATTAAGTACAAATTGTCAAACACGTACTATGAATTTAGCATAGAATTACACTAAAATAACAAATTAATTAGATAATTGAATAAAATATAATAATTAGGCACAATCAACTTACCACTTGTAGGGAATATTTCAAGCATCCCACACTTAAGCCCCACTGTGATCATACACTTAATCATGACGGCCTCCAAAGGGAAGGAATCTAGAGCAAAAGAGTCGCCAACAACTTTTAGGAACTTGTAAACCGTTCACAGGGTGAAGGTTACACCCCTTAACGATCTAGGAGATCGTTAACTCCAATAGGTCTAGAACCATGACTAAAAGTTCGGGGATGAAGGTACAAATCCAACCTAAAAGAGATTGAACCTGCTTTAAAAATAGGCCTCTACTTTATTCTTCTCCTATTCATGTGCGCTTTCTGACTAACATGCAATCAATAGATTAACCCTAAACCTGTTTAATATATGTTGGTTAAATATTAATGCACAAACAAAACTATTATTAGTGATCACTTGAATTATAATCATATTAACCTAAATAAGATTATTAATTATCTTATTAAGCATGATTACAAGTACAAATTCCCTTTAAACATGTATAAAAGGCGTGATCAAAAAATAACAATAAATTTAAATATAATATCAAGAAACATAATAACAATCATCATCATAATAATAATATTCTCAATCTCAAAGCATAATAATATTAGCAAGATCCTACGCATGATACTAACAAGATTAATAACAAACCCTAGCATGTCACTAAACATTAAAGATTAATTAGCCCTAACATGATACTAACATGATATTAGGAAAGAAATAGGAAGCATCCTAATAATATACATGATATTAGAAATTTTAGTTATTACCCTAAACATGATACTAGGAAGATCAAAACATCTTAACATGATACTAGGAAGCAACAAAATAATTTAAGCATGATTTCTATATCAAAAGATCAATAAAACAATTAAAGTACATAGTTGGATGCCTCGTACCTCTTTCTAATAAAAAAAATACACGCATTAGTAACTTCAAGGAAAAATATTAAAACAGTTAATCTAATCAAAGAATTGTAATAAGGTTTGGTACCAAACCCTCAAAAATTATCAACCTTTCACGTCAAAGGCGAAGGCAACCTCGAACTTGGCTAGGCGTGTCTAGAGCTAATGTATGTGGAATTTTGAGAGAGGGAAGGTTTAGAAAAAGAATAGAGAGAGAAGGAAAGCTTCTAGCTTTTAGAGAGATAATAGAGAGAGATGATTGTTGTGAATGATTAAAAACAGGGAGATACGACCCCTATATATAGAAAAAATAGCACGGGACAAAAGAAAGTCATATTCGGAATAAAATAACTCATGTTGCCAACGACAGGAGTCAGCGCCAGATGACAGCTGCAGCGCCAGGCGAAGCCTTGTCGTCTTGCGCTGATTCAAAAGTACAACGCGCTTTTGTATGAGGAATCATCTTTCGAACCGGTTAACATGTAATTCCGCGTCTAATCGTATTTGTGATAAATAATATATTTTATTCAAAATAAAAAAACTTATAAAATATAATTATCATTCCTAATCTTATTAGAATTAAAATCAACCTTCTAGATATTCCTAGAAGATTAAATTCAATTCTAATTACTTTAAGAATAATAATTAATAGGCCCTCCTCTAGATCATTGGGCCACATGTATAGTCTTTGGGCCTAATTTAATTTAATCCTTAAATTCCTCATTATTCATCGGAATTAGGCTTATAATATATCATTGGAAAGCTCTTTTCGAGCCCAATCCAAGTACACTATTATCGGACCATTGTACTGGCTATTTTTCATAAATAGGATAAGAAAAAAATATTTTTGAAAACAGAAAGAGAAATATTTTAATAAAAACATCCTCATCACTAGACTTTTCACAATTTCACTTCGTTCGATAATAAAATGACATCAAAGGTATTCATCACTGGGTTTGGTTTTGGGGAAACACATTTGGGTGTCAGCGCCAATAATTGAGCAAACAACAACAAACCCACTAATTCTCTGACATCGGCGTCGAGAAACAATCGTGAGGAAGTCAAGTGATGTAGGCGACAACGGGGATTGCGGTTTCCGGCGACGGGGAGTAAGTGGCGTTGGCAGGCTGCTTTGGAGGAGTAAGTATCGGTGTTTTTTTTTTTTTTTGGATGATGCTGTTGAATTATTTTACCAAGGAAAAGGGGAAAGTGATTTTGTTAAATAAATACTTAGTAAATGCAAACCGCTACTTGAAGTAGCGATTTCTAATAAGTAAACAACTATTTGAAGTAGTGGTTTCCAGCTAGCACACCGCTACTTGAAGTAGCGGTTTCTTAATAAACACGTTTTAACAATAATTCCCACTGAACCGGTGACATGGACGGTACGGTGGGAATTTTATAAAGATTATCTGTAATTTGGGAATTAGATAATTTGCCAACATTATTTTGGGAAAGAGATCTAAATATTCGGAAGTAATCAATTTAGAATCTATTTAGATGTGTATTTTTAAGCTATAAATTAAAAATCTAACAAGAATCCATATAATTATAATCATCTTATTGTTATAACAAAACTTTTGTGTACACCCAGTTTACACTGATATTAGTGTACATCGAACAATATTAGGGTAACTTTATGCCAATTTGAGAAACTTTTTACCTTTTTGGGTAAATTTGAACCTGATACAATTTTTATGTAAAAAGATAACAAGAAAATTTTTATAAGGGTAATATAATTACTTTCAATCATTAATATTTAAAGTTTAGTTATGTAAAATGTGATTCTTTACAAATAAAGCATAGACAATTTATATTTGTAATAGATTACTTTTATACATACTAGGGTAACTTTTATTTATTTCAGGGATACCTTTTGATCACTTTAGGGCAGCTTTTATAACGGATGTACAATAATTATTGTACACATGTAGGAAATATTTCAAGCATCCCAAACTTGAGCCCCGCTGTGATCATGCACTTTAGTATGGTGCCATCCAAAAGGAAGGGAGCTAGGGTAAAAGAGACGCCAACAAGTTTTAGGAACTTGTAAATTGTGCACAGGGTGAAGGTTACACCCCTTCACGATCCATGAGATTCCTAACTCCGTAGTGGTTCGGAACCATGATTGAATATTCTAGGATGAAAGTACAAATCCAATCTAAAAGAGACTGAACATGCCCTAAAAATAGGCCTCTACTTTATTCTTCTCATATTAACCCTAAAACATGTTTAATCTATGTTGGTTGAACATTAATGCACAAACAAATCTATTTTTGGCGATCACTTGAATTAAAATCATATTAGCCTAAATTAATTATTAATTATCTTATGAAGCGTAATTTTAAGTACAACTTCTCTTTAAACCTGCAAGAGAGAGCAAGATCAAGCAATAACAATAATATTTCAAGCAGCATAATAATATATTGATACGATAATCATCATCAAAATAATATTCTCAAAGTATAATAATATTATTAGCAAGATCCTAGGCATGATACTAACATGATTAATAAAAAATCCTAGCACGTCACTAAGAAATAAAGATCAAATCTTTAGCCCTAACATGATAGAATTAATATGAAGCAACCTAAACATGATACTAGAAACATACATGATATTAGAAATATTAGTTATAACACTAAACATGATACAAGGAACCATAAAGACATCCTAACATGATACTAGGAATTAAAATAATAATAAGCATGCTTTCTAAAGATATATAGCAATAAAAAAACTTACTTTGTTGCGTCACATCTCTTTCTATCAAAAAAATACACACGTTAGTAAGTTTAATGAAAATATTAAATTAAATAATTAATTTAAATAATTGAAATAGGGATTTAAAACCAAACCCTCATAAATTATCAACCTTTCATGTCTAGGGAGAAGACAACTTTGAGCTTGGCTATGTGTGTCTAAGTCTCGTGAAGGAGGAATGTTGTATTTGAAAAGGCAAGGCTTAGAAATTAAAGAGGGAGAAATAATAAGCTATTGCTTAAGAGAGAGAAGAGATTAGAATTAGATGATCCTTGATGATTTAAAAATGAATAATATCGACCCTATTTATAAAGGAAATTGACCGAAAACAATAAAAAGAGTCAAAATTCGAATTTGACTAAAACTGGAGCCATCGCAGCGCGACAGAGTCCATCACAACGCGATGAGACATTTTTTTGTGGATTTTGTTTTTAATCATATCTTTTGATCCAGAAGTCGAAATAAGTCATATAATATGTTGTTGGAAATTTCTTGAAGTCTACTTTACAACTAATTTAGAATCAAATTAAAATATTTTGTATATTAAAATATATGTCCAAAATAGTGGAAGGGTGTCAATTTTGGATAGAGTTTCATATTCTTTCATATTTTTTCTTTATAGCTCTGA